AATAATAATAATTATCATACAGTCGACTACTCAATTTGATGGGGTTGCTAGTCCCATGCCGAACCTTCCCTCTTTACCAGTCTTATTACTGGTTAAGCGAGGTAAGGGAGTGCGTCAGTGGTCAGGGCTTGAACCCCGAACCATATACGTAGTCGATGAGCATTCTACGGCCGTGCCACCGACACACAATTAATCCACTATATTATTATCATTATTATTAAAACCCTAACTTGATACATTATGAGCACACCAGTTGATGCGCCACACAAAATCTCATGGTTTGTGTGAATGCTGGGGTACTACTACACCCGGAAGCATACACCAAAGCAAGTGGTTGTCTTAGGGGTTCCCTCACCCGCCGCGCCACCGTCCGGACTATGGAGCTCATGTACACCATAGGTTAGGAATCTGGGTTTTCCAGCTCTTTGGAGTAGACTAGCATGTGATTTATGCAAACAGTAACCAGACAAAGGATTTTCCTGTAAACGTCTTAAGCAAGTTCACAGAATAGAAGGCATCATTTGAATTGGTTATACCACATGTTATTCTAATTGGTTGTCGAGTGTCATATACCAAGTCCAGTACTATTAATGTATTGATTTGTTGAAGTTGAAAGAAAATATGGGTAAAAAAGAAATTATTTGAACCACTGTCCTAAGGATTAGTGACCAGTCACTCTCATAAATGAACTAGAAGCCATAGCTACTGCTTAAATACTAATTTCACTCCCATCCGGTAGTCATGTGAGCAAAGTTCAACAATAGCGTCTCAAGGGTTACAAACGCACGACTGACCTTGAGCCCACCATTCATAAAAATGAGGAACTGTTGCACTAAAAATGACGCACATTTACAAAAAAATACATGAAAACACATTAAACAGGGTATCTCTCTCTAACACGACTTAAAAATACGTCCCAGTCATCATGAGGAGTATCACTTGCTGAGTTGGACTGGTTTCTCTACATCTATTCACCGAGATGAACACAGATAAACTGTGTTTTGTGGATCGTTCATCTATCACTCTTATCCTGTTGTACAATCTTCCCCAAAAGCTTTCGGTTGAATTACTATGGTTTCCAGTAAGAGGATCGACGACCACTTACCAGGAAAATGTGTGGATAATAAAACAAATTAAAATAAATGACACTAACTCTAAATCTATCCCTAATCGTAACTATAAACTTAATCCTTACCGTAATCATCACACTTATGCAAACCATAATTCTAACTGTAATGTTAATTAAGACCCTAATCCTAACCCTAACCTTAACCCGAATACTTACCTTAACACTAATCCTAACTCCACACGAGCTATTAACACATTGTCCAAACAGTACTTAAAAACGTGGTCTGGGTGGAATTTTCTCCTAAGTTCATGAATAGCGTTGATATTTCAGCTATGATAACGACAGGTGCCGTTATCCAACGATGACTAGCATGAGTTCAAGGCCATTGGAGCGTTCGCACTCCTGGGACGCTACTGTTGAACTTCGCCAAGTCAAACTTTAAGCACCACTAGCCATCAATGGAGGGCGGCCAAACCAATGGCCTTGAAATTCTCACTGAGCAAGTTAGCGAAACCTGGAAAATAATGTTGTCACCATGCATAAAATATGCTCATAGAAGTGTTTTGCTATTAAATGGGATATCTGGTAAGATTCAGCTTAGGTTTGCGAAAGATTAAGTTACGCTTTAACCCATGGACAAGTTAAGGTTAGGTTAACCTAATAAAGGCGATATTAGGGTTGGTTCGAGTTAGGTTACAGTTAGTTAAGGGATATTTTCACGTTAGGGTTAGGTCCAGGAGAGATTAGGGTTATTGTTAGGGTTAGAAGACCTAAGTAATTACATGCCTAGAATGTGGTTAAATCACTCTGTTGATATAAGAATAGAAATTGTCCACTGTGGTTGAGTATAATTCCATTGTGGGTAAAATTTATTTTGATAAAGTCTCACAGTGTTTACTAATGACCACGTTTCGAGCACAATTTATTGCTCAGTAAATATTACTGTATAACACTTTGAAACTTTATCAAAATAAATTTTACCCACAATGGAATTATATACCCTGTTGATACTCTAACCTAAGACTGAGAGTTATTTTTATCCCATGTGAGAGAAACGTATCTTCTGTAACACTTTATACAGTTTTTATGCATTTTTCTCATAAATATTTGTATTCCATACACAAAAACGCGTCCTTCACGTGATTGGTGAGTTCGAGGTCATCTTCTGATTGGTAGTTAGTGGTACTTAAAGTTTAACTATGCTGTAATATGCTACAAAACAGGTCTCAGTTTTCTATTGGAGTGGTTATAGATTCATAACCTTCTAATCCATTTTTTTTTCGATATGCCCAAAATCCATCAACAGAATCTGCATGAGTGCCAGTAATAGGATTCACTAATTTCGATGAATGATTGACTCCATGATGGGTTATAACCTAACGATGATAGTTGCATCGATCAGCATTTTTCAAATAAATGCTGTTCATAATCTTCGTTACAAGTTTCAATCGAACCACAGGACCTTCCGGTTACAAGGCGAGCTCGTAGACCATTAAGCCACTGGGACCCGATCCAATGGCAAACACATGAATTCTAACTTCTGCCAATTCATGACGTAAATAGGACACCTATCATTGGAAATATTTTTAATCTCTCCTGAGGCTCTAATTCAGTGTATTTCTAAAAAGTTCGTGTATGAAACTAAGTAGTGTTACTATACATACATAAGAAGTAAACAGTTTTATCACTAATCGTTTGAATTCCCTCCATTCAATCTTCAATTGATTTTATCATGAAAAGAACTGTGTTTAAACTAATCAGAAGGGACACAGGGACATTCATACATAAGTTATTACTCACGAAATTCACTGCCCAAATAAGAAAATTGGGGGGGGGAATTTATGGGTGCGAGGGATTTTAGAAAGTCTGGGGGCTTTTCAAGGGAAAATGCTGTATTTCCCCGAAATCTCCCCACCCACCAATTTTCTAATTATTTGGGCTATAAGGTAGTTGATTTAACAAAGTGGATTCTTTTGACTAAGCAACAGAAGACCATAGACTTGACAGTAAAAAGGAGCCGAATTCAAAAGGTCGGGATATAGGAATTCGCAACTTCACAGCGTTGAAAAGGGACTAATTTCCAAATTCCTAACTGATTCCTTAATAAAGTCGGAGTTAGATTGGTATTTTAACCAACCAACTCGGAGGCCAACTTTACCGGTTTAAGGACCCCCTCCCCTCCCGATTATGGAAAATAACAATTTACGAAATATCATGCAATGACTGTCAGTGGGGTGAAATACATAGGTCAGGGTAGTTGATCAGAGGCAGCTAAATTACCGGAACTTAAAAATCTAGTTAGACCTAGAATGGCTGACCCTGCTTAGTTAAATAATCTAGAAAAAAAAGCGAATGAAATGCATCCACTTGCATGAAAGTATTGGAAGTAACTATAACTAGGTGGGGAAAGGTTTTATCATTGAATCTCTTTTCCATCGAATCAACACCAAACATGTACGATTGAAATGACGCAACGTCTAAACCGGATATATGAAAAATTGGCGAAATTAAACTATGATAGTCAGTTACAGTGACCATGAACAACCAATCAGAATTCAGGTGCAAAAAGTAGCATAATCGTTGAGAAAAAAAACATTACAAATAATTGAAAACATGATATTATACTGGGTAATTGTCACTTATGTGTTGGTAAAAATGTCTCCTAATCACTACATGGAAAACCTATGGAGAGAATATAACAAGCACGACAGATATATTCGTCCAGATGACTGTAGTAGATCATGGTACTTTGAGGGCAAAGTTCATCAATAGCATCTCAAGGATGCGGACACACAATGACCTTCAGCTGACCAATCATAAAAATAAGTGACTTTTGCACAAAATATGACGTATATCTACAAGAAAATGCTTGAAAATACATTATAAACAAGGTATCTTTCTCTGACGTGACTTAAAAATACGTCCCAGTCATCATGAGGAGTATCAGTTGATAAGTTAGACTGCTTTCTCTACATGTATTCACCGGGGTGGTGACTGAAGATGAGCTGTTGTTGTGAATCGTTTATCTCTCTCTCTCTCTTATCCTGTTGTCCAGTCCTCCCCAAAAGCCCTCAGTTGAATTACTATAGTCTGCAGTAAGAGGATCGATGACCACTTACCAGGAAAATGTGGATAAGACAAACTGAAATGAATGACATCAACTATAAATCTATCCCTAATCGTAACCCTAACCTTAATCCTGACCCTAATCATTACCCTTATCCTAACCGTAATTCTAACCCTAATGCTTATTGTAACACTGATCCTAACCCCAACCCGAATACTTATCTCCAATCCTAACCCTAACGAGCTATTCACACATTGTCCAAACAGTACTTAAAAACGTGATCTGGATGAAATTTGCTCCTAATTTGGTGAATAGCGTTGATATTTTAGCTGTAGTTTTGATAGATTCCTTTGGCCATGCGTTCAAGGTCATTGGAGCGTTCACACTTCTGGGCGCTATTGTTGCACTCACTGAGAAATGCAGGTACATCCAGATGACGAGTCCCAAATAGGATGAAATACGCATCCTGGATTCCACTGCTAGTCACCATCCACCAATTAAATACTAGTTAAATGCTCAGACATCGTCGAAGCATCCGCACAAGAAGTCAACAGACATGTTAACCTGAGACCGAGCATTTCAGTCCAATCAATCGACGGGAAAATCAAAAATTCAATTAAATTGTTGAACTTAGCTAGGGAATAAGCAGAATGCTGCATTTACCCTTGCCGAATCCAAAAAAGGTAGCATTACTACATTCGGAATGAGTTTTCATAGCGTTCCCTAAATCTGATTGGTTCTTGAAAGTCGCCTTTCAACAGACCCCCACTTTGGCTATGATACTTCAACTTCTCCAATAATAATAATAATAATAATAATAATAATATAATAATACTGAATAAAATATCACTACTCAATACTTACATTTTTGTGTAATAATTTCAAGATAAGTGTCCTCAGATTATTCAATAATGCATTAATACGATCACGACGTTTCCTTTCAGTCATTTGTTTAGCCATTCGACGATCAATTTTAGCTGAATTAACGCATTTCTTTTTCTTATCAAACTGTTCAGTATTCATCTGACTGCTTATAGTAGACCAGCTTTTTGGATCTCCTATACACTGTGCGGGTGGATTTGATGCTGAGGACAGTAATGACACAGAGGATGTGAATAAAGATCCTGATGAAGGTATATTTGTTGGCTGCTTATTATTAACTAATACTTGTAAACTATTGTTGTTCACACCGCTAGTCGACTGTTTTTCTTTTGACATGCCCATTTCTTCATTGCTGTTGATTTCTTCGCCTCCTTCTTCTAGTTGTTCTGCTTCTTCTTCCCCTTCTTCATCTTCATTTGAATCAAAAAATGAAAATGACAGCTCATTTAAATCTGATTCTGAAGTATTCGGACTATAAGTGGTTGTTATGTGTGACATATCAAGTTAATTATTACAAATTAGTGATACACTGGTGATAATATTAAAATGTTAACCTACTTTTTTTTGGTTTAAAAATTAGCTCAAGTGTAAAGGTCATTTTTGATTGGTTCATATTTTCGGCAGTCGTGATTGGTTGTTATTAGTTAGGAGAGAGGAAGAAGAGATGAAACAACTGCTACTAGGTATCTATCTCAGTTCTCATTAGTTTACCGGAATTTATTTGCTATTTTGTATAATGTATGTAAGGAGAATTTCAGGCACTGTCGTGGAGTGTAATTTCTTAATAAGCGCCTAGGTATTAAGAAAACCTGTATTTCATTATAAACTGACATTAGTTAAGGGTACCATTGAAAAACTTTGGAGTACTGCAGAGCTGTTTCGTCAGCCTAGTTTGGGACTCTGCATGAGTACGTACCCACTGGAGTTCAAATCCAGGACCTTCCTGCTGTGAGACGAGCTCGTAGACCACTAAGCTACTGGAATAGGAGTTGGAATCCATAGGCCATTAAATCGTCTTCCAGTGACCTAATGCTCTACGATCTCGTCTTGTAACCATAAGGTTCTGGGTTTGAGCCCCACTCTGTGGGTGCGTACTACTGATGAGTCCCAAACTAGGACGAAACACCTGGATGTCCAGTACTCCCTGTTTGTTTTCAATAGTTCTCTAAACTGTATCGACCAGTGGTCAAAATTTAAAAGAATCGAAGCCCTACAAAAAATTCTTTAAAATTAATCTGACGTTTGCTAGTGACTGGCAACAGGAGGAAGTTCTCTAGGGTTCCAGTGAGAAGTCATGACCACTGCAGTCTGTCATGTTGTGAATGAAACCAAATACTCGCCGATGACATAGGCTAGTAGTCACGATAAAATCACGAATTTGTAGAAGTTGGAGTTCATGGGTTGGCAGCTGAATCATGCCCCAGTGTTTGAATAGTCTAAGAGCTCTCCTTTTAACCGGAAGGTCCTCAGTATGAACCCCAGTGGGTGCGTGCTATTGAAGAGTTCCAAACTAGGACGAAATAGCTGGCTGTCCAGTACTCCCTGTAGACTTTCCAACGGTTTTCTAACCGATGTCAACTCATGGTGAAATGCTGTAACCAATCAAATCCCTACAAACCAACACTTGAAAACTTACTGTGATAATTAATTAACTAATTACAACCTCCATGTTGTGAACTATAACTAATAGGTGTACTGACATGAGGTGTTACCTTTATTCACACGCCTACCACTTTCTCATTGTTGACAGCAGAGCGAGAGTCTTGTCATATACCTCTTTTCCCTTCAGATACTTTAAACTGAAAAAGATTGTTATGCCTTAAGTGTGCATTAATACTTGATCACTAGTACAAACAGAGTGACTACTTGTGTAATCGCATAAATTGTTCAGACAGTATGAAGTTAATAGGATATCGTGTTGATGAGACTATTTGGGTTATCTCTGAGGTTAACATAAAGGTGGGTGATGACTGTAAGTAAAATGTCACGTTGGATTAATGGCAGTGGTTGGATCAGAAGTACGGAGATGATTGCCAAATTATATGCTTCTTCATCTACTAATAAATAAACTTCTGGCTAGTGACTGCTAGTCCCAGTCATGCCGCATCACATCGTTTGCTAATCAGCTACTATAATTCAAAGTTATCTCAAATAGTCTCATCAAAAATCCTATATCCATTTATTAGGCGAAAACCTACGCCGTTTTCAAGCACTGGTTTGTAGAGATTTAAGTGATTGGTTGCAGGATTTCATCATGAGCTGACATCAGTTAGAGAACCATTGGAGGACCTGTAAGTACTGGACAGTCAGCCGTTTCCTCCTGGTTTGGGACTCCTCAACACCGCGCACTCACCGCCAGGGTTTGAAGCCAGGATCTTCTGGTTACAAGGCGAGCTAGCTCGTAGACCATTAAACCTCTGGGACCCGATCGAATGATCCATGAATTCCAACTTCTACCAACTCACGACATAACGCGAACGCTAGCCAATGTCTTCGGCGAGTATTCGTCCTCACACCCAACCTGCTACATGATACTGAACATGACTTCCTACTAAAACCCAGGTAACTACCCACCTGAACAGGGCCAGTGGCTAGTGAGCATCCCATTGATATTCAAGTATTGGTTTGTAGGTATTTGACTGATTTCATCATGAGCTGACATCGGTTGTGAACACCATTTGAATACGTTATAAAACACGCAGTTGTGTTATCCATATATTCCTATATTTGCTCTTACCATTTTTCATCAGTTAAAACACTTCCCTTACCTGGATATCTTCAGTTCAAAAGTTGGCGAAGTTCAGCAATAGCGTCCCAGAGTGTGAACACTTCAATGACATTGAGCGCATGCTAGTCATCGTTGGATAACGGCACCTGTTATTATCATAGCTGAAATATCAACGCTATTCACCAACTTAGGAGCAAATTTCATCCAGATCACGTCTTTAAGTAGTGTTTGGACAATGTGTGAATAGCTTGTTAGGGTTAGGATTAAGGTTAGGTTTAGTGTTAGGGTCAGTATTAAGCTTATGGTTACGATTAGGGATAGATTTATAGTTGATGTCAGTTTGTCTTATCCACATTTTCCTGGTAAGTAGTAGTCGATCCTCTTGCTGGAAACTGTAATAATTCAACTGAGGGCTTTTTTGGAAGACTGCAAGCAGGGTGAGAGAGATAAACGACTCACAGAAACAGTTTATCTGTAGTCGTCTCTGTGAATACATGTGCAGAAACTAGCATAACTTAGCAACTGATACTCCTCGTTACAACTAGGACGTATTTTTAAGCCGTGTCAGAGAAAGATAACCTGTTTTTAATGCGTTTTCAAGCATTTGCTTGTCAATATACATCATTTTTTGAGCAAACATTTTATGATTGGTCAACTGAAGGTCACTCGTGCGGTTGCACTCCTGGGACGCTATTGTTGATTTTTACCCAAAAGTAACTAACTGACTTTATTATAGTCTGGTAACTTTGTATTAACACTACATTGTAAAGTCGATTATTAAAAAGTACTATTCAATTTGTTTTCTGTCTCTAATTATCCTACTAGGAACATTTATGGATTTCATCATGAATTGACATTGGTTTGACGACCACTAAAAAACCTGTGAGTATTGGACAGCTGTTTCTTCAGCGTAATTTGGAAATCTTCATCAGTACGTATCCACTGGGGTTCCATCAATTCGGTCAATTCATGATGAAATCCTGAAACCGATCAAATTCCTGCAAATCAACACAGAATATTTAAATTACTGAAAAACTAAGAGTATCCTGTTGCGTTGAAACAGTTGAAAGACTTCTAGAAGTTTAATACTAATTAAATATCTTGACTGTCTGACTGAGTTTAGATATAAAAGTTTTGCAGGAATTTCACCAGTTAAACTCGCCATACTCCATGTACCACAAAAAGGAAGACCAAAGAGACAGGGAGAGAAGAAGAAGAAGAAATTCGAAAGCATTATGAGTAGCAGAAATGTCAGGGAGAAAAAATAGCAACCTGGAAAAACATGACGGCCTATTGAACATGGGAGATCACAAAAATTAAATGGATCTGCACGATTTTGAACCATACCACCGATTGTCTCCAGTTGTTGGTTTTTAGAATCCCGATGACCCCAACCAGACAATTTATACCTCCCATATGTGGGTAGCTCAAATCAACTGTCTTAAAATTCATAGATTGATGGAGGTTTTAGTTTGTCAATAACTCATAACTCTTTTCCATCTCATTCCTATGTCAGTTAACACTGTTCGTCGAGGAAGACGATAGCTCGGAATTCGCAACACCTATGATAGGCAACATAATCGACGACGCATCACAACCTCATCAGTTAAATTTCCCTCTTATCTAACACTTGAAGCCTAACCTCAATATTACTCATCATACGGTACCACATAACACGGGAGATAGAACAAAAACATTTGCGATCAAAGACAGACAACCTTTTCGTATCATCTAATTTCAATGGTCATGTCTCACAGTTCATAAAGTAGTAAAGAGTGAACTGCAGCTCAGTGCACACATCCTTTGATAAACAGATGGATGCTACAAGAAAATGTATTGCTTCCAAATATGTTCTATGATTATGATTAATAGGAATTTTTAAGTCGATTATTTACACAAGGTAATAAAAATCGCAAAGATAAATTAGTATTCTAATGATTCATAGTAATTAGTAGTTTTCCAGTCAGTGTCAGTGTATAATAATATCTACTTTCAATGTTTCTTCTATGTTTTTTTTCTATGTTTCAGTGTTTTGACCATGTTTGTGTGATCAAGTGATTCAACAAAGGTGCAATCTGAGGAGTTGAAATCCCCAGTAATAACAGACAGAGAGTTGTCGAAGTTGGCAGCGGCAAACATGGTGAATTCGTCAGCATAATTAGATAGATCAGATGGTGAGCAACTAGGAGAAATGTACATGTTTGTAATATAGATTTGTTTATATTTGGGTAGATGTTTGGGACGACATTTGACAGTAATACAGTCAATGAAGTCATTTGAGAAGGAGAAGCAGACATTATTTGAAACAGACCATTTGGAGTGAATAAAAGTTGCAACGCCATCACCATTTTTCTTCTTACAACATTGACTGTCTTGTCGAAATAAAATAAAGTCCTTTAGTGAGATATGATTGTCATCATACAGTTCATGTAACCACGTTTCTTGTAATGTGATTATGGCAGTATTATGATAAGTGTCAGTGGACATCAGAGATTGTAGGTACATTATCTTGTTTGGCAGAGAGCGGCAGTTTGTGTTCATTATGACAGGGACCGTAGTTAAGTGTATTGATGTACGTTTGAGAGCTCTCTGCCAACCACTACGATGCTTCCTCCTTGATTTCTTGGGAATATGAAAGTCATTTGGTCGTGAATGATTAATAAAGTTACGAGAGTAAATAATCCTGCTGGAATTCATATTTAGGCGATAAATTTTTATTTTTTATTTTTTATTTACAGCTTGATTCCACACTGTATTTTTGGTACAAGTATGAAATTTTCAGCATGGATATCGGTAACCCAAATTTTGCAGGCCG